TTTTTAGTTTGCTGTTGATCTGTTTGCAACTGTAAGTAAAGAATGTTTTTTAGTTTGCTGTTGATCTGTTTGCAGCTGCAAGTAAAGAATGTTTTTAGTTTGCTGTTGATCTGTTTGCAACTGTAAGTAAAGAAATGTTTCTTATATATTTTCTCCTACAAATGCCTCAGGGGTGTGTACTGAGGCCTTAAGTGCTAAATGAGAAAAGGGGGAAGCTATTCTGCGCGGTGAGTCTCTACTTCTACTGTGTCTTAAAAGTGAATTTTACTAGAAATCCAAAACTCTGCAACACATCCTGCCCCAGATCAAGGGCTTTTCTCCACCGGCAGAACGTTTTATAGGGTGCAAAAATTGTCCGGGCGATTTGTCAGCTTGGAGAGATCTCCGTGTCCCAATTTCTCATCTGTGGTTGGCAGCAGCTTAGCCCACGGCTTCCGCTTTGCACCGGGGACGGGAGAAAATGGTCTTTTTCTCCTTCTCAGCATCAATAGTTTGATGCAGAAGCTCGTTGGCCATGCATGCCTCCCTCCTCGTCCTGGATTGTTCTAAGCACCTCGGACATCACCGTGGAAACCGTCACCAATTAGCTGCATGGCGGGGTCTAAGTGCTGCCTTTGTGAGCAGAATGGAACATAAGGAACGGGGGTACCCAGGAAACCAACGGCCATCTGGTTCCATTCGGCAAATAACGCCGGGGCTGGCCATTGACAACGTACATACTTTCATTCCATGTGTATCGCCATTGATGATGTGCAGGATCAAACTTGTTTCTGAGATGGTAGCGGCTATATGTGTGTATGTGTGTGTGAGAGAGAGAGGATGTGTTGTATAACAATATAGAAGAAGGAGTAACTATGTTTGTCAAGTTTAAAGATAACATACCAATATACCGTAAATTAAGCACAATTTGGTGTATACAGTATCCAGTGTCAAAACACTGTTTATTCTATTCTACATGTTCTACAGTAAAAGTTCTTCAACATTTTTTAAACCAAGAGTCACTGATGATTTATTTTCAATTATCGGCACATACGCCAAATGGAGAATATTATGTATTTTACGCTGTATGTTGTTGCTTTTTGAAGTCTAATGCTTTAAACTGCTGCGCATCAACTCTGGTGCAGGTTTTTCGGCACCATAAGGGGAGGCAGCTTGGCTGTTAGTCACAAAAACTAGCCAACGTACTGAGCCGGTGGAGGGTGGAGACATGGCCAAGCAGCTTGGAGGTGTGTGTGGGTCTCCTGCAAAGTTCCAACTAAAACTCAGTATTGGTTATTTCTTTGCAAAGCGGCTACCCTCGGACATTTAAGCCTGTGGTGTAGAGTCTTTACGACATACAGTAATCCAGATCAGGGGGGGAAAAGAACAAAGAAGCTTAGACATATTTTTAGTTTGCTCTCGGAAAAGTTCACGCCAATCTTATTCAAGAGAAGAGAGTTTTGCTTGAAGGCGTTTCTGTTTTCTGTCATGAAAGAATGTAGCCTTCACTCTCTCCATCTTAGCGAAACTCAGAAAGTCCGTCCGCCGGGCCTGCTTTCGATGATACCGAAGCAAGATGTGAAAAATCTTGTGTTTTGATTGCCTCTTTTATCTTTCTCAAAAATGCCCACCCTGCCCTTTCAGCCAGCGGGTACGGCAATGGAGTGTTGCAGCATGAAGCGCTTCAGAGGGACCGCCACCGAACGACGCACTTTTCCAGCTAATAATATTCAGAAGTGGTTGATCGTTCCCTTCCTCTCACGGTGCCCGGGGATTGTGCAGTTTACCCAAGGCCACGCAGGCTGGCTCTTTTCTCGGAAGGCGCGTTGTGGGAATTCGAACTCCCAACCGATACCTAAATTGCAGAGCTATCCGGCCAGCCGCAGTTGAAAACCTTGGTGAAAGGGGCATAATCAGAGCGGCCCTCCCCAACTAGATGATGCCAGACTACAAGTTCCATTGTGCTTGACCAGACCAATACCAACCCTCTGGAGATCCACAAGTCAGAGAAGGTGGGGTGTGAGCATCTGGGAGCCCATGTGGCTTTTTATCTTTGCACCCATCCTGGATACAGATGCCAGGAGCCTCGCCCGTGTGCCAAACCTGTTCTTCCGGCTGACTGTGTGTGTGTGTTGCCACCCTGCCCGCAACGGGCACATTTCCTTGTTTAGTTTGTGACCCAGATTGTTTAATGGGGAGTTGATGGGCTGGAGGAAGGATTTCCAGAGAGCGGACCAGGATAACATCCGACGCTTGTTCCTCTTGACCCAATGAACCCATTGTCCTTGATGATGATGATGATGACAGAGGCTGGCAGGAGCCTTCCCCCCGAGGAAGGATTTCCAGAGAGCGGACCAGGACAACATCCGACGCTTGTTCCTCTTGACCCAGTGAACCCATTGTCGTTGATGATGATGATGACAGAGGCTGGCAGAAGCCTTCCCCGCACCTGCCTTGAGATGCTGAGCATTGACTCCGTAGCCTTCAACAAGTATATACCCAACGGCTAAGCAGCCTGTGTTTCCCAAGGACTACAAACTCCATACTCCTTCACTTCCAAAATCAGGCGAAGTCTTGAGTTTCCCCAAAATCGGGGAGACCTGCGGCCTATGGTCAGTGCCGACATGAGGCGACGCTTGTAATGACAAGTCCCATGATCCCCAAAAATTCGTCACATAGACCGGTTGACTCTACACCTCCAGTTCCACTGTTGTGGGGAAACTGGGTTTTGTGGTATTTCGTTTTGTTGCCCGTAATGGTTTTAAATCTGCTATTGCTTATGTTTTTGTTCAATGTTATTTTGTTATTCTGTCTAAGCCGCCCCGAATAGATGCACTAATGGGGGTGGTATGTAAATAAAATCAATGAAGAATCACTGGTCCTTAATAGCCAAACACGAAGTTGGCATTTATATGGACTCTGCAATGTACTTTTTCAAGACCTCCCAGAGTGTCCGGAGTGGCAAATTTTTACTTATTTTATTTTCCAAAAAAATATTTTTATCCCGCCTTTCTCTGGAAAAAGGACCCCTCCCAGAGTGTCCGGAGTGGCAAATTTTAATTTATTTTATTTTCAAAAAAAAAATTTTTTTTAATCCCGCCTTTCTGTGGAAAAAGGACCCCATGCGGCTTCCACTATTAAAACGACAATATTTAAAAGCTGAATAGGCAAATACCTGAAGAATTAAACAAGTGTACGTAAAGCCAATACTGAAAGACATTTAAAACGACAGTTTTAACAGAGAGCCACAGTCCATTTAAAACAAACCCTCTCAGACTGCTAGTCAAAGCCTGCCTGAAGAGAAAGGTCTTGGCCTGCTGGCAGAAGGAGAGCCAGGATGGGCCCAGTCTGGCGTCCAGTGGCAGGGAGTTCCACAGCCTGAGAGGGGCCACCGAGAAAGGCCCTCTCCTGTGTCCCCACCGAGGGCGCCTGTGAAGGTGGTAATCTGGGGAGGGCAGATCTCAAGAATCTCCCCCAGTTACCGCAGATAATAGAAGATTTTTGAAGGCTGTAATTCTTCCCCTTCAAAGAATTTGGTCCAAGTGGAAAACTTCACTGCGAAATCGCTCTCAGGAGCCAGAAACTCATGGGGGACGATAAAAACAAGCGTTCTGGATGCTGTTTTGCTGGAACTGCCTTTCCCTGGGGAAAAGCGTAGGGGCAGAGCGGTGCGGTAAAGGGTGACCTAGTTCCAACTTTGCGGCTGGCGCTTTCGCAAACGCGATCCTGCTTGTCCAATTTGCCGCTCCAGATTCTCAGGGATGTTGGCTTCGATTTTGTACCAGCCTCCTCCTGCCTAAACAAAGGCCGGACCGGATATTTCGACAGCAAATCTCCTGGAGAACAACGAAGGGTTTTACCCACCTTTCAGCGTCCTGCAAGAGTTGGCAGCCGGAAGGAGGTTGCCAACTTTTCCCGGCTGCTCGGGGCCTCTGCAGTTCGAAGGCGGCAAGTCAGCAGATCGGCCAAGAAATCTCTCCCCGGAATAGAGATCGACAGCCAGGGGGAGGGAAAGGCTTCGCCTGTTAAATGTCTGCCTGCTGGGCTGCCACCAAAGACGCAGGAGCAGAGGCTGAGTGAGAAAGTTGGCAACCTGACAATCATTAAGCAGATTCAGTTAAAAATGTTCATCTTGTTCATATGTTGTTTTTTTTAATATTTCAATTAATTAAAACATAGTGGATTTAACAAGAGCAGGAACTAAACTCAGGTTCAGGAAGATGCAATTGGACTGCAACTTCCATTAGCCTGCACCATTAGCAATGCTCAGTAGGGGATGATGGGGTTTGTAGTCCAATAACATCTGACTTGTAACACACTCTGGTTCCTCGTTCCAGCCAAACACAAAATCTCACCTGTCATGTAGTTTTGTGAGAACAGAATATAGGAGAACTATGATGTTCCCTTGAATGCATTAGCCGAAAGCCAAGATCTAACCAGATTTTTTTTTTTAGTTAGCAGCGGGTTGGATTGGATGACCTCTGAGGTTCCCCTTCAAATCTCGGATCCCAACCTTTTTCTCTGGAAAGATTCTCTTGTCTTTGGGAGTAAAGAAGATTCTCCTTTTTGACATGCTGTTCCTTAATTTTAGGAGAACACCCACCCACCCCAAAAGTACTGCACAGAGACCTGCAGACAAACGCACAGATGTGTTTCTTCCTGGTGGGAATCTGATTTCTGATTTTTGAACGCAGCACCGAAAAAGGACGAAGAACCTCCTTCAAAGGCCTCGGGAGTCGATGTCGCAAGCCGGGAACTCTTTCGGCGAACAAGTTTATGAGCAGCCGGCGCTGCAACGCAGCCGGAGAATCCAGGCACAGACGAGGGAGGATAATTACTACACAGACGAAGAAGGATAATTATCCCGGTTGCGTTCTGCGGAGAGAAGATGTAGGTTAAATATTAGCGAGACACGGCCGTGAGGACAAGTCAGCAACCAAGAGAAAATCCCTGGAGACAGCCTTTTCGGATCATGCCGTTCCTTGCTTCGGGAGAGACTCCGGCCCTGTTGTTAGACAGTCGGGCGTCTCCCACCAAATGTTCGCCTTTTACTTTGCTGGACGAGATGCCGTCCTTGGCTAGCGATCCTTCCATCATGGCCTTCCTTCTGCATCCTGCTGGGAAGAAAACCAGTTTATGATGGATGGTTAATTAAAGGGAGAACCACTTGTACAATTGCATTTACACATCTGATTTTTTTGCCTCGGGTCATTGTGCCTTTCCTGCCAGGGATATGGGGGGTGATTTTCTCTCCTACTTGCTAAAATAATTTGGCTCCCTGCCTCCAGCAACCACGAAATACCAGTAATTCACATATCTGAATCTTTAAGACATTGTTTCCCGAACTTTGAGGCTGTTGGGCCTCCTTTCTCGGAAACGTTCATGTCCGGGGATTCTGGGAGATGTAGTCCAGGGGCATCTCGAGAGGGTTAGACTGGGATGCAGAAGAACCCGGTACAAATCACCACCCAGCCATGACATTCTATTGGAGTTGGGTTTTTTTCTTTTTGCAAGCTTGCATGACTGTCAATCAATCCAGGCTAGCCAATTGTTCCCTCCCTGCCTCTGAATTCAAAGAGAGTCCCGCCTCTCTCCTTTGGAGCTTTTCCCCTCTTCGTTGTCTGCCGAAAGCCGTCTGTTGAGCCTTGTGGTTGAAAGCAGCCAGCCACGTTTTTCAGTTGCTGTTTGATCTGTTCAGTTGTAAGTAAATGACACTTTTTTTATTCTTTTCGCCAACTAATGTCTCGGGGAGTGAGTTGTGGAGACTGTCGGTGCTGGTTAGGAGAAAGGGGTGGACCGATCTGTGGAACTTGAAGCTAGTCTGCTTTGTGGATCCCTGCACCACTGCTGCGCAGATAGAGGAATTTAACCACAAATTCAAAACTTTGCAACTAATTAGTTGGGTGGCTTTGGGAAGAAATCACAGTCTTTTAGCTCAATCTTTCTCGCAAAGCTGTCGTGAAATTCAAATAGGGAAAGGATCACGTATCGGGGCATGCTCTTTCTCTGTCTCTGTGTTTTGTGTTTTTTTTGCACTCCGACACCCAAAATTCTCAAAAAATCCCCCAAGTAGAATTTACCTTTGCAACAAGAAGCAGAGCGCAAGAAGTCCAGAAACACAGGAGAGCACAAACTCTATCCGGCAGGCTGCCTTGATCTCAGCCCGGGAAAGATAGACATGAAGATGATGGGGAGGAACCACACGGCCCCTCCCTCTGTTCCTGTGAACAGCCTTCCCTGAGAACTCACAGCCGTCCTGACTTCCCATTCACTGGACCGTTTTCGGTCTCCAGTTCAAAGCCGAGATTGCTCAATAGAGGTTGTTGCTCAATTTTACCTGGTTCCTTCGTGTTGACCTGGAGCTCGTAAATACGAATAATTACAGGTTCCACGCTCAGCCCCAAGGGCCTTGTTCCACAGACTGCATTAGGGGCAGGAGGTTAATTCCAGAATTGCATAAAGCAGCTTTGGAAAAACAAAAAATCAATGTACGGGTGTTTCTGCACCGGTTGGACAGCAGCCCCGATGGCCTCAGGCAGCAAATACTAGGGGGTCAGCAAGCATCCTGCTCCTGGATTTCATGTCTTTTCTTGGTCTAACCTTGCCCTAAGCTGCCAAACTAGCCGGTGCTCCTGCATATCCAAGCAAGCTTTTTGTATTTGAACTACCTTTGATGGAAGAAATAAAATCCCACCATCGTAGAATTTTTTCCCCCAAAAAAAATACCAGTTACAAAATCCCACCATGTACTGGTTTACAGGCATCTTGTTCCCGTTACCTTTGAAGGCGGGATTGGGGCCAAAATAATTCGGAGGCCGAGGTGGCCCCCTGGCTCTCCCCCTTAAATTTCACAAATGCGGCACCATTTCCCACTTTTTTAAAAAAACTAATTTTTGTCCTTCTGGCACATTTTTTTTGTCTATAGACTTTAAGACATGTGGTTTGAAAAGAAATGTAGATTGTTGCTCAGTATTTCTTTAAATGGTGACGGGGAATGGTATATATGTGAGTTGGGGAAATGTGGGGAATAGCTTTGTATTTACTATTTGCAATATGGTCGATTGTCTCTGCATTCTTTAGAAATAAATAAATTTAAAAAAAATGTGTGTGTGTGTGTTTGTTGTGAATTTTGTGTTCTTTTGTGGGCTTTTTGGATATCAGGGAGACCCCCAACTAGTCCTGGGGGAAGGAAACTACCAGCCCCCCCCCGATCTGCCCAAATGACCCACACCAATTTATAGCAAGTTCGTGGATGATGGGATTCGGAGAAATCTTGAGCGTCCGAAGGGATTTTTCGCCTGCCGAAAGTTTAGAAGTGAACAATCTGTGGCAGATGGGACCCATAAGAGACATCATCCCATAAGAGGCCGCTTCCCCATCATCCACAGAACTGCTCAGGCAGATCTTTGGGTAAAACCAGACCTTGGATTCACTGCAGCCTCAATTAACCTACAGCCCATTGATTATGGTGGGTCTACTCTTAAGTCAATGACCTAGCCATCCTCAGAGTCCCGGTGACTTTGTTTGAGCACCCCCTAGTGGCCATGTTCATATGAGCGTCGCCTACAAAAAGCTTTTACATAGAGATCCCTTCATTTTATCAATATTATCATTATGGCTTTCTATTCATTTCACTTTTATTAGAATCCTACAAAAGTTTTCTTTTTTTCTTAAATCTCAGCCTGATTGGACACAATTTGATGGCCCTTTGGTTTAATTCCTAGTAGGATCGGCTGCTGTTCTTTTAACAAAAGCTTAAGAGTACGGGGGCATCTGAAAAACTAACTACAGTGGTGTCTCGCTAGACAGTTACCCCCGCATGACAGTTTTTTCGCTAGACATTGACTTTTTGCGATCGCTATAGCGATTCGCAAAACAGTGATTCCTATGGGAGAATTTCTCTGGACAATGTTTGGTCCCTGCTTCACAAACCGATTTTCGCTAGACAACGATTTTGACAGCTCCCTCCGCGCTCGCACAACAGGTGTTTTCGGGACCTAAGCTTCGCAAGACAGCGATTTAAACAGCTGATCGGCCGTTCGCAAAGCGGCTTTCCTATGGCCAATGTTCGCTAGACGACAACGATTCTGCCCCATTGGAACGCATTAAACAGGTTTCAATACATTCCAATGGGGAAATGCTTTTCGCTAGACGATTATCTCGCTAAACAATGATTTCAGTGGAACGGATTATCGTTTAGTGATGCACAACTGTAATTGATTACAGTACACTTCTCAGAAGCTTATAATATAAATCAGTTTGACTGACCACACAGTCACACAGAGTTCTTCATTATTTTTGCTCTGCCAGACTAACATTCCTGTTATTGTTTTTATGTCCTCCAGAGTTTGGTATTTTGCTGGGTTTTGTTTTATGGCTTGCCGGTTTAACACCTTAGTGATTTACTGATTGTTTTACAAATGCCCCTTCCCTTGCAGCTGTTTCAGAATGAACCATTTAATAAACAAATAATCCTATGCTGTTGAGTCACTTCTGACTTACAACGACCCATTTTCAGGGTTTTCCAAATATTGAGTGGTTCGGGAACGAGGCCACAGAGCAACGGAGACAGAACAGAATACATCACAGAACTCTGCAGAATGCAATAAAATGTCAGTGCTGTGGTTACACAGAAGGAGAGCCATGATTTCTGTTCTTCACCAACATATGGTGGAATTTGGAGAAAGCAGGCAAAGCAAGAATGCACAAAGCGGTTTGTTAGAAGGTCCGCTTTTTGGGAGAAAACCAGCAGATATACCTACCTACCTAGATCAGAGATGGCTTCTCATTTTGAGAACAGCAACCTCGCTAAAGATTTGAGGAAGAACTTGTGAAATCTTTCGTTGGCCGCGTTGTAGAGGAACGGGTCAAGGCAACAGTTGACCATGCTGAAGACCACGGAGACATAATAGGCAACTTCCACGTTGTGGAGAAACTCGCAGGACACGTCGTAATATCCCACAACGGCGGCCACCGTCCCACAAACATGGAGGGGCGTGAAGCAGAGGGCGAAGATGACCAAGGCGACGGCGATCATCTGGCGGGTCTTGGCCTTCATGACTCTCCCTCGGAGGTTGGCTTGGCTGATGTTGGCCACAAAGTTCCCCAGCCTCACGTAGGAGGCCAACGAGACGCCGAAGGGAAGGAGGAAGCAGAGGGTCCCCAGGAGGATGCTGTAGGTCAGGTAGAGGGCGGACAGCTCGGACTGAAAGACGCTCAGGCATTTGACCGTGTTGCCTATGACGGACGTCTTCATGAAGAAGAAGACCGGGAACGCTTGGAGGAAGAGGAGGAACCAGAAGACCCAAATGAGCTTCTTGATGAAGGACTTCGTCCTCCAGACGTTCTTGGCGTTGTAGTGGACGATGGCTTTATACCGGTGGATGCTGATGAGCGTCAGGAAGTAGATGCTGCCGTAGAGGTGCGTGCTGAGGAGGAAGAGTTGGAGCTGGCAGAAGAACTCCCCGAAGGGCCAGTGGTTGCCCAAGCTGAAGTAGGTCACTGTCAACGGGGTGACGGGCAGGATGATGGCGTCGGTCAGAGCCAGGTTGAACTGGAGGAGGATGCTGGAGTTCCAGCGCTTGAGGGTGAACCAGAAGATCCAGAGGCTGACGCTGTTGAAGACCAGCCCGCCCACGGAGAGGACGCTCAAGAGCGCTGGGATGGCCGGGTGTAGTTCCCGGGGGTGGCACGGTGTCCCATTGGTGGCATTCATCAGAAGATGAAGACGGTGGTGTCCAGAGGTTGGAGAAGAGCCGTCCATCTCATGGCACGGATGAAAAATACAGAGGCTCACAGGAGGCGCAGATCTTTCTTCCCCAATCAGAAAGGGTGCATAATATCCACAAATGCCCTAAGGCTGATCTTTATGCCCAAACCCACCGCATCCAACATCCTCTTTTCTTTTCGTTTCCCCCTTTTGCAGGTTTCTTTTGAGTCAACCCTTGGCCTAAGCCCGTAGCGGGACATTTGTGCCTCTTCCTATGTGGTTTCTGCAGTTCACAAAAGGAAAAAAAAGAAGAAGTCAGCATTAACCTGTTCTTGGAACGAGCTTTCTAATTACAAGAAAATGACCAGAGAGATAAAGCGAAGCTCTCTCGCTCTCTCCGGATCGAATCGACAGGGTGCAGGTGGCAAGGACTTCGATGCCTTTTGAACGGCGATGTTCTTCTCCCGGTCTATGGAATCATAGTTTCTAGCCGTCATTTGAGAAAGAAGTTTGAGAAAGTTTGAGTGCCTTTCTTGAGCTCCATCAGAGCCTGTGAAGGACCTCCGAAAACGATGGGTTCCAGGATTTCGTAGCATGGGGCTATGCCATATCAAAGGGTATTGGACGGATGCCGCCCTGCAGGGCAGGCATAGTTTCAGAGTGTGCCTTCTTAACCTCCTTCCTCTTCCACGTATCGGAAAAGGACCAGAGAGGGTCAGCAGGTCCTCCCACCGAAGCACGGAGTGGAAAAATCACCCCGGCCAGGAAACAGATACCACGCATGCATGGTGATGGAGGAGGGAGACGGGTCACCGCATCCTCGATACCGTCTTGTTTGTGAAGGGCTGCAAAGTGGAGAAAAACCCATTCCATGTGTCAAACGATGACCCTGGAGACCTGGGTTCGAAGGTCTCCCCCTGATCTGACCTCGCAGATCGATATTTGTGGAGAGCCATCCATCCATGCTGGCTTGGTTTCTCTGCAGGATAGGTATGGAATCGGTGCAGCGAAGAATGAATAATAATAGCAGCCATAGGTTTGGCTGGCTGGAGGGCACCATGGTTTAGATCTCTGGCGTGTGGAGCCAGAGGTTGCGGGTTCAATTCCCCCCGCTGTACCTCCAGGGAGAAGAGCCAGCCTGGATCGCCTCGGGCCGGCTGCGCAGCCCGAGAAGAAGGGAATGGAGAACCACCTCTGAGTCTTCTCTACCTGGAAAACTTTTACGAAAGGGTCACCCTAAGTCAGAATTGACTTGATGGCCCATGGTTACGTATTTTATGCACGGGCAGACCGCCGTAACCTGTGGAACCAGCTGCCTCGGCTTTTTTCCTCCCGGATCGGACTCGATCCGCTTCAGATTTGGCCCGTTTCCTCTAAGTCCAGCGGCAGGAAGAGGGAACTCCTTCGAGGAATTGAAACTGAAAGGTGCGGGGATAAGCTTCCCCAAATTCCCTGCACAGATGTCAAAGGGGGGGTGGAGTGGGGAGGGCTGCGCTTCCTGAGCAAAAACACAACGTTTCCTGCTTGTCGCTGTCCGGTGTGGTCGTGTCGCTTCCGACTCACGGTGACCCCATGAATGAGCGATGCCCGGAATCCCCTGTCCTCAACTGCCCCGCTCAACTCCTGTAAACGCAACCCTGTGGCTTCCTGGATGGAATCAGTCCATCCTGTATTGGGGTCCCCCTCTTTTCCTGCTGCCTTTCCAACTTTCTCAGCATGACGGTCTTTTCCAGAGAATCCTGCCCTTCTCAGGATGCGCCCGGAGTAAGACAGCTTCAGTTCCAACATTTTTAACCTCCAGAGAGAGTTCAGGCTTGGTTTGATCGAGGACCGCCCTTGTTTTGTCTTTCTAGCAGTCCAGGGCACCTGCAAATCTTGGGGAGGGTGGGGGTGGATTTTGAGGGCACCCGAGACTTCACTGCTTCTACAAAATCCAGCAGTTTTATGAAACCTCCTGGTTGAGATGGATCGGGGTTCAGGCTGCTGAAACACCTTGAGTCTGAGAGATCTCTTCATCATCACCCTCATCTTAGCACTGCAGAGCTGGAAAGGACCTTATGAGATCCTCAAGTCCAGCCCCTAAGCCACCAAAGTTAGAAAATCTCCTCTGACTTATGTTGACCCCATGAATGAGCAATCGCCAAAATGTTATTACTCATCTCCAAGACCCCCATCAATAAACGCACAGAATGATCAGAGCTTAGGAAGTTATTTTTTTAAAAGCAGTTTGTTACAGTTATAGTTCCAAGACTCTAAAAAGCAAATAGTTACATTACTGTTACAATTTCATAGTAATATGAGATTTTTCTGTTTCAAAAATGTAACTTAAAAACAGGGCGGCTGCACACCCTGTAAACTATAAAAGTAGTTTTAAAAGTTATAGTTACTTGCAAAAGTAGCACTGTTCTCTTCCCAAACATCATGTCATCGTAGCCGTCCTTGGGCTATTTGGAAAACGGACCAATTGTCATTTGTAACTACATTTGTAACTCAATTACTGAAACAGAGATCTGGGTGCTTCAAATATCTCCTCCTTTGAAATAGGCGGATATCCTGCTCTCAGCTCTTAGCTGTCTCATTTCCCTCCGTTTCCCAACCTACAGTATTGTTCATTTCTTTACTAGATCACCTCAAGTGTGTGTCATCTAGTTCTAAATGTTTTGTGTTCAGTTCCCCCGCGTTAACGATCTCAGTTCCTACATCCCTTCATGTGGCAACCACCTTCTTTCTTGGTCGGTCACCAAGTTTCCTATATGCCGTAGCGCTGTAGCGCTGTAGCGCTAGATGCAAGCTTAACAGCACTCCTTTCTTAAGGGAGCACCCACTTTTCCATTTTTCTTCAAAACAACATAGATTTAGCAACCTACATGCCTGTCGAGCAATCTATGATATCCTTTGATTAAGGATATCTGTTATATCCTTTGATATCCCCCTTGGCTACACTTTCAGACATCTCTGTAAGACGCAGCCGTTGTGCGGCACGCCGCAACTCTCGGCTCCGGATCGATGTTTTTAAAAGTCAGGCGGTGCGGAGCACAACATGTAGCCGAGGAATATAAAGAAACCCTGTTGTCCACCATCAGGCACGTTGGCCTTGGTTGCTACCATCGCATCTTCTCTCCTTGGGAGAAAGGGGTTCCTGGTGATCCGGTCCTCCTCCGATCCTCCTGCTTGCCTTCGGGGACTTTGGTCCTTTACACCTTCCTGAGGATTCTTCCCGGCTTCCTCCACTCTCTGTACCGCTCGCGCCGCGTCGGGTAAGCCGTTGGCTGAGAAAATCCGGAACGGCTTGTCCTACTGAAATTTAAACAAAAACCCCAAAATAAGTCCTCCTGAATTAGACCCTCGGAAGTCAGTTTATTCAAGCCTTCTGTTTCCTATTTCTAGAAAGTCTTAAAGCCAGTCTGAGGATTCTTCCCGGCTTCCTCCACTCTCTGTACCGCTCGCGCCGCGTCGGGTAAGCCGTTGGCTGAGAAAATCCGGAACGGCTTGTCCTACTGAAATTTAAACAAAAACCCCAAAATAAGTCCTCCTGAATTAGACCCTCGGAAGTCAGTTTATTCAAGCCTTCTGTTTCCTATTTCTAGAAAGTCTTAAAGCCAGTCTCAATAGCCTCTCTCTCTCTCTCTCTCTCTCTCACACACACACACACACACACACACACACACACACACACGCACACACACAGAGAGAGTTGTATCTCCCTTGCAACTGGGAACTCAGGATATACTCTTTCTGAACATGGAGGTTCTGCTCTTACCCATCAGGGTAAAAAACGGAGTTCAAGATCAAAGATCCACTTAGACTAGTATCTTTATTCTCCTCCTGGTCAATCAGATAAGGGATCACTTGTAACCGAGGGGCTGGATCCAGTTTTAGAGTTGTTTTTCCATCCATCCATCCATCCATCCATCCATCCATCCATCCATCCATCCATCCATTGACTAACCCATCCATCCATCCATCCATCCATCCATCCATCCATCCATCCATCCATCCATCCATCCATCCATCCATCCATCCATCCATCCATCCATCCATCCATCCATTTTTCACAGGCCCTCCACAGATGTTCCTTCCTGGTTTAAAATTATTAACCATCTAATAATTGCCAGAACTTGGAGGACACTGACTCTGTTGTTCCAGAGATGGATTAACTCAAAAGTCACATCATTGTGCGTCCGTGGGTGTGTCCGCGCTGATCGGCTTGAAGCGCACACGATCAAACGAACCCTCTTTTTAGCAGAGGACTAGCGCCCTCCTCTTTGTAGGCAGAATGGCTGTGGATTTGAACCCGTGGCCTTTTCGGGGAAGGGGTCTGACAGCCAGCGCAGCCCAGAGGTGGGAAACCACCAGCCTCTGGGCCCAAACTGGCCCGCTGAGCCTCCCCATCGGGGGGTATGCGCGGAGAAACCGTGTGTAGACAGACGGAGGAACTGCAATACGCAAAGGGTGGAGGTGGAGAGGCGTGAAAGAGGGGAATGAATGAATACATGCCATGTCTAAATGGTTGTGTGTGTGCGTGAGAGAGAGAAGGGAGGTGTGTGTGTGTGTGTAAATGAATGAGTCAACACTGCACGCCTACGGATGAGTGAATATATGTAGGAATGGGCATATCCGAGACATTGGAAGGACCATCAATGGTGTCTGTACAGTGTGTCCGAAAGAGAGAAGAGAAAAGAGAGAACTAGATATGAATAAGTGTCTGTGCATAAATTACGGTAGCATGCGATGTGTTTGTGTGAGAGGGTGCTGATCTGAATGGCATAGGAGCATGGGGGAGGAGGGGGGGTTGAGCGCCCAGGCAAGCACATTGGGAGAGACGCGTGTCAGCCATCTGGGTCCCCCCCCTACACACACACACACACCTGACATGCGCTGTCCAGCATGCTTGCATGGAGTTGACATGGGACCCCCAAAGAGGAGAAAATTAAAGATTCCTTATCCTGGCTATAATGACCCCAAACTTTCTGGGTTTTTGGCTTCTTCTCCCCTCTACCTGAGCCCCCCCTTGTCTCCGTGGCCACGCACCCCATCTCTTGCCTCTTTCTGTCTCAGATCCATTGCCCACCCCTCCTGATTTTCCAAATGACCCCCTTCACATACCTGGCGGACCAGAGAGGCCGGGCTTGCTTCTTCGGCTTGGTTGCCTGCTTCTGATACTCCATCCAGCCACTCACCAGCTCATGGATGATCATCAGATAGAGGAGGAAGATGAGGATGGCCGGATCCATTGGGGGGACCTCTGCCTCGCCTTCATCGGGCCCCGGGGACATGGATGCGAAAGCCGCCAGGAGGAGGAGGAGAAGTCAGCGCAAAAGCAGGGAAGGAGAGCCCAGCCAGCTCTTCCTTCTTTCCCGAATCCAGAAAAGGAGTTTTCTTTTGGGGTACGATATGTGGTCTTCCGTCAGAATCTAGGCTTTGTTGGCTGGGATCCTCCGGAACGGACGGCGGCTGTCACAGATGGACGGCCCGGCTTGCGCTGTGTCACATGCCGCGCGGATGCAGCCGGACAGGTTGAGGCCATCTCCCCCATCTATGCGACCGCCAGGCCTCTCGCCTGCCTGCAAGCTGGCTCTTAACCTCTCCCTGGCGCTCTATTCCGCACACCGCTCTGCAGATGCACTGCGTGTGTGGCGGCAGTCAAGACAAAAGAGAGCGCCTTGCATCTTTTCTCACACCAAACAAAATCTGACTTCACAGTGCACGCGGCAGCAGAAGCAAGAATAAGGGAAGGAGATGTGGAACGGCAGCCCCTCCTAATGCTGGAGGTGCCCACGGAGCCAGGGTGCACCGAAAAACACAGGTTTCCATCCGATTTGGGAATACAGATTTTCCCCCTCTCCAATGACACCCTACAGTCACCTCATTCCTATATCCTAATATATAATAGCTATATATTTGCATTAAAAAAAGAGACGGCTGTGTTTGGTCTAGGAGTTAAAAAAGAAAAATTGCCATTTTTTGCGAATGCAAAATTCGTTGTTCGGCGAATGCCACAAACTGTACCAGCCTCTGAGAGTAACAGGCCTCTTTGTCACGCTGGAGGGTTCAAAACAAAAAGAGGAGATAGGGAAGAAGTCAAAAGGGCACTAAAATGAAGCCAGATGCTTTGGCTGTGAGCTTTGCAGGAAACTCATGGTCAAATATTCGTTTTTTATTTATATTTTTGCACTTGCCAGTGTTTGAGCAGATTTCCTCTACATATTTACCTTTTTCCATTTCTGTTTGCAGTCACATCTCAATTCTTTAACATCTATGATGTTTTCATGAAAAACACATTAGAATGATATAAAATAATTTAAAAGTGGCAACAAGTCTCAGTGAGTTCCACAGAATGTATTCCCACTAAACAGTGGTAAAAATCCCCCCCCCAAATATTTAAATACCTGGGAAGGTTCACATATGGGAGAATATTTATACACACACCAGCACTGTTTGGTTTATTGGGAAACCATTTTGAGAGGTTAATCTTAAAAGAAAATGTTATTTTTTTAAAAAAAGTTTAATTTAGCTCGGCAAGTATCTATAAGGAGATACAAATCCATAAGACAAACATCACACAGTTAAAAAAAAGAGATAATTTGATTTTTGGAACCAAATGTCGGCCACTTCTCTAAGTCGTACACATGTTTCCCCTTTTCATTTATTTCTAAACAGAGAAAGGGGAAGGGAGAGAAAGAATGAAAGAGAAAGAGAAAAAGAGAGGAGGAGAGGAGGAAAGGAAAAAAATAGAAGGAAAGAGAACATGACAGAAAGAAGGGAAAATAAACAAACAGGGAAGGAAAGCGGAAGAAACCGAACCGGGGGAAAAAAATGAAAGAGAAGAAAGATAAAAGAAAGGAAACAAAACATGTTTATTTATTTATTTTTAATTAACTCGGTTCTTGTGGGGATCCAAATCTGGTGCCACATGTCGGTGAGAACGGAAAAGAGACGAAGTTTAAAAAACAAACACAGGGAGAGTAAGGCCTGGAAGGATGGCAGGATCCTGTTGCCACGGCAACGGAAGCGGTTGCCAAGCCGGCCGGAGAAAGGCGTGGCTGCCGAGCATCTTTTCCCTCGTGGTTCTCCATGGGCTCTCTTCTTCCTCTTGAGCGTCCCGTCGTGTCTCGGCCGTGAACATTGTAACCAGTCCGGCGTGAGTGGGGTGCCCCATTTCCCCCCACCCCACGTCTCTGAGCCTCCAGAAAAAGCTCACTCTCCTTTACAGGCTCCTAAATCTAAATAAAAAAAAGTTTGCAAGGTTTCGGAGACCACCAGGGTCTTCCTCAGGCAAGACGTTATAGGTGGAGAATGTTGGAGACAGGATGGAAACAGCTTGGGTTTACTGTGGAATACAGTGGTGCCTCGCTAGACAGTTACCCCGCAAGACAGTTTTTTTGCTAGACGTTGACTTTTTGTGATCGCTATAGCGATTCGCAAAACAGTGATTCCTACGGGGGAATTTCGCTGGACAATGTTTGGTCCCTGCTTCGCAAACCGATTTTCACTAGACAATGATTTTGACAGCTCCTTCCGTGCTCACAAAATGGGTGTTTTCGAGACCTAAGCTTCGCAAGACAGCGATTTAAACAGCTGATTGGCAGTTCGCAAAGCGGCTTTCCTATGGCCGATCTTCGCTAGACAACGATGATTCTTCCCCATTGGAACACATTAAACAGGTTTCAATGCATTCCAATGGGGAAATGCTTTTCGCTAGACAATGATTTCGCTAAACAGCGATTTCAGTGGAACTGATTATCATCATCTAGCAACACCGTCTATTTATTTATTTATTTATTTATTTATTTATTTATTTATTTATTTATTTATTTATTTATTCATTCATTCATTCATTCATTCATTCATTCATTCATTTGATTTATATCCCGCTCATCTGGTCATACGGCCACTTTGTAAGCACTTCTGTATCACAGTTTGACCAAAATTTTTTAAAAAAAGGCATAGAGCATTTTTTTTTAAATCCCAGTTTGTTAAACAGTGTGGGAGAAAACTCTACCCCAGGGTCAAAAAGAAATAGATTTGTTGCAAATTTATATATATATATATTTTCCTGGCTAGTTTTGTTAGTTTTTAAAGAAACGGCCTCTGTCAAACGGCTGAAACGTAGGGATCTATTTATCACTTTTCAACCGATGTGCTACAGAAGGTCCCTGAAAAGTCAAAAACAGACACAAAGCACCCCCAGTTTTGAATTTTAAGTTTTAAAAATCATTCTGGATCGTTCTGGGCTTGGTGTGTGTCCTTCCCCCTCCCCCGTGTGCATGTGCCACTCACACAAATCTGGGGCTCTGACCCACCCAAGCTGATGTCTGCCCATCCTCTAGTCTAGAGACAGTGTAACATCGGGGGTGGCAACAGGCCAAGGGGGTTCTCACGATGGTGCTGGACTACAAGACCCATGATCCCCCTTTTGCTGTCTTGGCCTGAGGGGGGTTGACCTCCAGTGACATTCAGGTGGATGCAGGCTGCACCCACTTGGAAAATCGTATGGGAAATGGACTCGGGACAGACCAAAGATAAAGGGACGGAACACGTCTCGCCCGACCGTTCCGTTTTCCTGTCTGAACATTCTAGTGCCATGGGAAATCACTGTTTCCTTCTCAGTTTCCCTGGCCACCACGTTTACACATAAGGAGGCGTCCCCTCAGATAAGCCGGTCCTGCTCGAAGTCAGAGATGCCACTGCAGAAGGAGAGACGGGGGTAAGAGGAAGAGCAAACATTTTACCCTAGGGAGTGTTCATGGGAAGCTTATGTTATTTGCTGTGGCTAATTGTAACTAACTGATTAAGTGCTGGAGCGCTATGACCCATATAAGCCCGGGCACCTTGTCAATTAGCCTCAAACCGCTGTGGAATGTTATGCAACTTTTCATGAATGCCCGTAAGATTCTAGTCTGTGTCATAGATACGACATTGTAGGGGGCGAAAATCACATTGATATGCAACCTTTCATCAATACCCATAGGATTCTAGTCTTTGTCACAGATACGACGTTGTAGGGGGCGAAAATCACATTGGCGTTCCAGAGGTTAGACTCCAGAAGACCTTTGGGTTGAGCCATTATCTTTGCAAAGGGTTTCCATGTTTACCGCCTGACAACCAATCATAAAACAAAGCAAGGTGGTCTGCAAGCTACAGGGTATGTGTGAGAAATGCTGCAGTCAGATGTCTTTCAACAGTTAAGGAATTCCTCCTTCTAATGATGTGTATTTACGGACCTACCCCTGCCGAAATGAGATGTTTATTTGCCTGTCATAACTGAACGCCATCTCCTCAAACAGAGCGAAGGAGACAAAGATGTACAAAGGGAATTTGACCAAATCTGCCCCGATAATGCTGGAGGAGAAACCAACCGCCAGCGTGGAACACAGTTCTGCACAGATCATTAAGCCCTTTCGAAAGAAAAAAGGAGCTCGGAAACGGCGTGTCAAGTCTCGGCCCTGCCAGTGGCGGCCCGCCAAAACCCGGTTAAAAATCCGAGGCAAGAGGTGTACACTACAAGCTTTTGTTAACAAGAGGTAAAGAAAAGAGTCCATCTTTCCTGCTTCTGTTGAGGCTGAAAATTACTCACAATTGCTATAATTTCATTTTAAAAACAACAACAATTCTTTACCAAAAAGTGGGTGGCCTGCCCTACACAATACAGTGAAATCATGAGGCCACACCTGTTAACTACAGAAGTAACTGAAACCAGTTACATTCCAAATAGGTGGCGTTATTCCCCATTGTATGACAATTAGCCTCAAACGTGATTGGAAGCAGATCTCACTTAAGAAACAAAAGGCATTTATTTACACTAGCATGAACGTGCTTTATTTTGTAAATCGGTCTGCTTTTCTTTTGCGATTGCTCACCGCAATATAAAGATAGGGTGCCTTGGCTAGAGTGACTGAGCTTTGAAGGAACAGGGTGCCTGGAGGGAAAATATTAAAATGGAAGGAAGTGCGCATTTCCCTTATGGTGTGGTTCGGACCTCTCGTTATGCCTTAATAATGTCAGAGACGAATTAGCGACAAGCAACTCGTTGGGCTAAACCCAGTTGTTAGCCCCGGATAGAGTTGATTCATTAAATGAATGAGGTTTGTTCTACCGATATATCTGTAAACTCCATTGATTCAATGAGTCTGAGATGGCACAGTCTCAGTGGATTGGAGCAGAAGAGCATCTGGAATTGTTTCCAGTGAGTCTGAATTCTCTCCTAAGGCAGCTTTCAAACTCTCCCGAAAAAAATCCGGATTTTAGACTTTAATTATGCCATGCAATGATTTAATAGCCGGCTACAGAGCGAACAGCCTGGTTTAATTTCTGGTGCCATCTTTTGGCTCACACAGGTTGCCTCCTCAATGCCGTGAGATGTGTTTCTCCAACTTGATGCAAGGAAGCCCTCCTTCTAAGAAGACAGATGTGGTGAGTGGGGAAGGGCGGCCCGGAAAAAGGACAATGTGGAACGGATTTTACATAAACAAGCCGGGCAGAAGCCTGATTTGGTTTGTAACAAAAAACTATTGTATGTTTCTTTGAAAAAAAACAAAACAGGGATGGTCAAACAGTCCTGACTCACCATCTACGGGGAGACGTTTCTCCAGAAAAGGGAACGTGGGTCATTCTGAACAAAGAAGAGGTTTTAGCAGTGTGCAGGAAAACCAGAGGTAATACTAGCGCAAGCCCCACAATAAGAACCTGGTAAATACAGTATTTTCTGTGTATAAGACGCGCCCATGTATAAGACTTTTCTAATCCAAAATTAAGAAATCTAAGTGGGGCTTAGCGAGTGTAGGGGAAAAGGGATCAAAGCACTGCAGGATCGCTTTGATCCCTGCTTTCCCCTCCACTTGTTTCTGTTCTCTCCTCAGCTTACTTCCCTGTATAAGACAACCCTCCATTTTTAGTCTAAAAATGGTAGACAAAAGTACAGTCTTATACGCAGAAAAATATGGTATCTGTTGATTTCTCTTGGTTCTGCTGAACAGATTCGCTGAGGAACAACCCTCAGCATTTCTGTTCCGCGTCGTCACCAGCAAACTGCTCGTGAAGATGATCGGAAAGGCGGAGAAATCTGGGAAATCTACCATGATCAAATCATGGTGTCCACACGCAATGCGGGTTGGCACTCAGAACAGGCCTCGGTGCTGCTCCTTAGAAGCAGTTCCTAGGCAACTCTTTTAACACAAAACGACAATCTCAAATATTATCCCCGGCAGTGGGTGGGTGACCCAGAAGGCTGTGTCTTGCATGAAATGGTCACCATCCATTTGCTGATTTTGTTTCTCCCATATTTTCCGGACAGCAGGCTGAGAAATCCCAGTCCAGTGGCGAAGAGGCGATATCACTCAGTTTCCGAATATCAATTTATATATCCAGGTAAAGCCAAAACCAAATACACCCGTATCCCCGGGATCGCTGCGGTTGTTTGCTGCTTGAGGAGGCTGCAAGGCGATGAAACTTGCCTCTGAGTAGACACGCTCCGGATTGCCCAGTGAAGATATGCAACCCCTCTTCAAGGAGTCCCTTCGGTTTCCACACGGCTATTGTCTTGATCCGAATTCCCTTCCAGCCCCAAATACCAACCTGAATATTTGATCTCAAAATTGACTTTAGAGAAGATTGTGCCCTGCATAGAATTCTATGCAGCTCAGTGGAGGATCATGGCCTTAGTGTGTTGTTGTTGTTGTGCCGTCAAGTCGCCCTAAACTTATGGCGACCCCATGAACGAGCCATCTCCGGAATCTCCTGTCCTCAAATGCCCTGCTCAGCTTTTGTAAACTCAACCCCATGGCTTCTTTGAGGGAGTCACCCCATCTCGTATTGGATTTTCCTCTTCTCCTGCTGCCTTCCGCCTTTCCCGGCGTGATGGTCTCTTCCAGGGAATCCTGCCTTCTCAGGATGTGCCCACAATAGGACGGCCTCAGTTTGCCTCCAGAGAGGCTTAATCTGATCGAGGACCCCCTGGTTTGTCGTTCTGGCAGTCCGGGGCATCTGCAAAGCACATTTCAAGCAAATCATCAGGCTGTTTGCTTTAACTTCTGATGATGTTCCTCTCTCTCTCTTAACTCTGAATCCCGCTTCTCCTTCCAAAGGAAGGGCCGTTTTCCACTACACGAAAGAAACGGTGAAGCAACAGCTGCGGTCGATCTATCTGGGAAATGCCATCCAGAAACCAGCCAGAAATCATCCGCGCCCAACCCAGATGCCGTCTTCCTCCTGGGAAATAAACGGGAGCCGACGGTACGGATCCAGGCCTGCCAGCGTCACATGGCAGCGGGTTTAATGTGGGGTGGCTGGGATGATGTGTTGCCGAGCACCGCCTGGCATATGCCGGGAAGTAAGAACGCTTGCAAAATGGGGTCCCCGCAGAAAAGAACTCCCATCGTCCTTAGCTGGCACCGGGCGTGGCCGGGACAGAGAACGTTGTCCTCCAGCCAACGTTGTGCTCCAGAAGCCACCCAAGCTTGTGAACTATGGGTTGAAGCAGAAATCCATTTCACCAGAGCGAAGAAAGATGGGGACTAAGTGATCTATAGATATAGTGTGTTTTCTTAAAATTTCAAACCAGAGCAATCTTCGTACAGAGCAATGGTTCCCAACCTTGGGTCCCCAGATGTCGACGACTCCCCGAAATCTTGGCTAGCACAGCAAGTGGGGAAGGATGCTGGGAGTTGTAGTCCAAGAGCCTCTGGGAACCCAAGCTTGAGAACCATGGATAGGGAGGGTGTTCTCTAATAGAGGAGGATCATGACTTAATTTGATCGAGGACCCCCTTGTTCTGTGTACCGTTATGACAGTACACAGCCACCTTGATCTCTAATAGAGGAGGATCATGACTTAATTTCAGGGCAGACAGGGCCTTCCTGGTGGTGGCCCAAACTCAGTGTACATGTCATCCATCCATCCATCCATCCATCCATCCATGCTTCCTTCCTTGCAGGGGGAATCTAAGTTCTACCACCAAATGCCCAGTGGGTCGCGAATTTCTGAGAAGCATCCCGCGCGGTACCCTAGCCCAAGGACTTGCAGGACTGACCTACAAAATCCAGAGGTTGGTGCTTGTGAGCAACACAGCTCTGGCAGAGCCTGAAAATCCACCACCCAGCCCGACGGTCGGCCGGAAGGCATCCCAGGGACAGGGCCGACCCGCTTCGGCAGGAGCAAAGCCCTCCGCAGAAGCCTTCCAGAGGCTGGGCGGTTGCCTGGCCAGGAAAAGAGGACACGGCTGGGCCGTAAATCAAGGACACCCCTCCGAGGTGCAAGGAAAAGGAGCTGCCGGAGACGTGGTTACGGTGGACGCCCAAAACTCAGTGGGACTTGTGTCGGGGAAGGAGGGCTGCAAGGAAGCCTCAAGCCGAATATACGGTGGAGAAGACTCAAAGGAGGAGGATTTGCAGAGAGAGGATGCTGCCAGGAGCATGCTGGCAGTCACCACGAGCAGCAAACTGCCCGCCACCCGCACCCAGCAGGCCGTCGTCATTCCAACCGTCACTCAATACTCATCTAGCGATAGTGAAAATGTGGAAACATCCTCCTGTGACGCTCGCTCGGACGCCACCACATTTCCTGGCGGGGACCCCCAGCACGTACCCCCTTGCGAAACCTTTTGCCCATCGGTGCCAGGAGAAGAGGAGCCGGCTGAAACTCCCGCGGGCTATTCTCCGGAGAAAAGGAGATCCGTGGGGCCTTTTGGAGATACGGAGAGGCGGAAGGTCTTGGATGCAGAAATGTCACGTTCCCCGTGAGACCGAATTGAATAAGGAAGAGGCTGCACTCGGATTGATCGTTATCTTCAGGCGTGGGAAAGGCACGGCCCAAAAGCTGATTTCGCAAAGCTATTTTAAAAGGAAATAAACGTTTCGAGAATTGATCCGGCCCCTTCCTTGTTCTAACCGCTGTTTATGTAGCCTTTAGAGCTGTATCGGTGAATCCCTTGTGTCTGAGCTTAATTCATACCCTTTCTCGCAAAAGTTTACCAGGGCAGCTTGGGACGAAAATTCACTGAATGCACGGTTAAAGAAAATGAGATGAAGATGAACAAAAAGATCAGCGACCACTGGATAGATGCGTTAGCAATTATAAGAGAGTTGTGTAGATTAAGAAAAAAGCCGGGTGGATAAAGTTGTCGTCGGGAATCCCGTTCCCAGCCTTTCTGGCTGTCGGCTATCCTAAGGCAGATGGGAGAGGTAGTATGACAACATATGGAAAGCCTTGTATATAAACTGGTTCCCAGAAATCGTGGCCAGCGCAGCTGGTGGGAAAGGCTTTCGGAAGTTTTAGTCCAAGAGCACCTGGAGACCCAAGGTGGGGAACCACTGATATAAAAGAACCAGAGGCTTTAGAAACACCCATCAAGAAAAAGTAGGGGATTTAGACCAGTGGCTCCGACCCAGAGGGGACTGTGGTGTGTATTCAGCTCTGCCACCTTTAATCAGGATGCGCAGATTTCAAGCTTCCAGGATCCACTTTGTCTCTTGCTAGCTTGTGAGCACAAAAGGGGTCGCAGAATTCCAAGAGTTAAAGAGTTTAAAAAAAAAGGGAGAAAGAAATGAAGTGACACAAATAACTTTAACCCATAAAAAAACAGACCTTTTTATTCTTAAAAAAAAAATTGCAAGTGTCTAACATGACATCTGCATCTTAGAAAAGTTATATCCAGGCTTACATCTTTTTTTCCACCCCCTGCTCTAAAACCCACCCAGACTCACTAAACTGGAGTGGGCAAAGTGTCACAAGGTGGCTGGACTCTAATGCCCACCATCCACCGTAGCCGATGGCGAGGGATGCTGGGAACTGTAGGCCTAGGCTGCATCAGGGAAGGGGGTGCTGTTTGCCCGCTTGGGGAGTCCTTCCAAGTAGCCTTGTGATGGCAGCGCCATCTCCTAGATCGAGGGGTGGCAAAGGAGGTCTGAAGCTGCTGGGATGGCACCCAGCCAGTGTGTGGACTGGTGAAGCCACATGGGTCAAAATAATAATAATAATATATGTAGAAGGCTGCACGGCCCCCCGCCTCCTTGCTTAAGGGGGACAAAACAGCCGAAGCTAAGGAGGGCTCAAGAATCATCCGAGGATCCCGACTTGTCGGGATCCAGAACGGGGGCGCGCGTACACGCTCTGGCGGCTGTCCGCTAGGGTGGGGGAAGCTGTGCTCTCCTGCGCGACCAGAGAAAGCGCCCCCTAAAGAGTGGCCGGGGTGGGCACAGTCGCCAAGGGCAAGTCCATGGAAGGGGGGTCGGCCACCTGGGCAACCGGGCTGGCGTTGCGGAGTTCCAGCTTCTCACCCAGCTGGTGGTACAGCTCCTTCAAGGCTTCGCTGCTCTGTTGGGAGAAAGATTTATGACCGGTTGATCAGCACACGTTTCCCCCAAGGCAGGCCAAAAGGCAAGAAACCGAAGCCTTGCTCCGTAACAGCATCCTCTTTCTCCATCTTTCTCATCTCCCCTCCTTCATGCTTAAAAGCTGAAATCCCATCCCAACGTGTGGTTATGGACAGGAAGGACTTATGGTTTAAATATACTGATATAGTTTTTTTACTGGCTCCCCTCCTTCGGCCATTGGCACCTCCTTCCACCAGAACCTCTCTGATGTTGAATCTGGCCCTTGGGCTGAGGGAGGCCCCCGACCCCTTGGCCAAAACGGTTCAGTCGGGCTGGGAAAAAAGCGTGCGAATACGCTTGTGCAAAAATGGAGACCGGACCTGCAGTTCGAGGTCCGAGAGCGTCCCTCAGGGCCCGAACTGCGCCCAGCCACCCGGCCGCACGCGTGCATTACAGGGCTCCAGCCTGGAGGCATTAAGCAGCTGGGGAGTCCTCTTCTCCTCCCCCCCACCCCCGTTTTACCTGTTTGGTAGGCTCCAGGGCCTTCTGCAGGGACTCCATCTTGGCTGGTGCCACTTTGTGGTGGAGGTGGAGCAAAAGCCTCAGCACGTGCCGGTGGACGTTCTCCTTCCTGTGAGGAGGCATGAAGGGATCAGAAAGGGGGTCTCTTTCAGCCTCTAAGCCCTTGCTGCACACAGGGAAGTTTTAAGGTGATTTTTGGGGGCTGGGAGCCTATCACTCTCCTCTCCGTCGCCTCCCTCCAGATGCGTAGCAAGCAGTCCTGTGGAGCGTGGCCCTTGTGGGAGAGAAGACCCACCCTCTGGGGAGGATACGGTGCCAGAGATGACCTTTCTGAGGTCTCTCGTATTGGGAGTCCGTGGCCCAAAGGAAACCACGTCCCCTGGCTCAGAACCGAACCCTAACTAAGCACCTGCACGTCTCGGATCACCGAAAATCGACTGGCCACCGACTGGACCCCCCTGTTCCTTATCTTTATTCTGAAACACGACACACTGTCTTTTGAGGTGGGGGCAAAGCTCTCCGGAGGAGCCTCAACGGATCCTAAGAGCTGTCTGGAAAGAGGATCCAGATGGTAAAATCAGACACGGCATCCTTTTGGAAAGGAAACGGTTACCTTGAGCAAGCGGGGAGAAAGAAGCCATCCAAGAGGCTGGTGCAAAAGTCCTCTTGGGCAAACTCGTCAGCCAAGAGGGTGAGGTTGCTGGTGAGCAGGTGAAGGAAAATGTCCCCAAACGCTAGGTCGTTGAAGGTCTCCCCTGCAGCGCGACAAGAAGCGACGGATACTTTCAAGGCAAGGGGGCAGGAACTGTTCTGGCCCCGTGGGTTGTGCGTCTAGCACCCCATGGGAGGCACCAGCACAAACCTGCACCTCCCGCTTCCCCATCCCGTAGACACAAACATCTCGGGCGCTTCGGTTGTCCCAGGGAGCGTAGCGGTCCATAATAACCCTCTCCATCCTTTTGCTAGGGATCCAGAACCTGGGGTGGATGAGGCCGCGCCACCACTGAGGGCTGTAAAACAATCGCTCCCAACCCGGAGCTTCTTGGACTAAAACTCCCAGACGCCTTCACCACTGGCTGGGATTTCTGGGAGATGTAGTCCGAGAACATCCAGGGGACCCAACGTTGGGAAGCGCTGATGTAAAGGGACCAGCTGGGGGTATATCTAGGGTTCTAAGGCTGAAGGATGTGCCCCTCAGCTGTCGGAGAACCCCACAGAGATGCTGAGATCTCTTTTTCCCTTGACAAACATCTGAACCACAGATTTATTCTCAGGAGATCCGAGAAGGGAGACCACGTTTTATTGTATTAAGGCCCTTAGGTTGTACTTCAGTCTGTACACCTATTTCACTGGGAGGAAATTTCTTCCGTAGGATGCCATGATTTCTTAGAGTGATCAGGAAAGCTAATGATTTGGACTGCAACCCCTAGAATTCCACAGTCAGTGTGGAGTTATGGGAGTTGTAGTCTCCCCCCAATTAACTTTCCTTTTCTCTAGCTTCTTCATCTCCTCTTAGAATCGCAAAGCTGGAAGGAACCCTTACGGATCAAGTCCTATCCCTGTCAAGCAGGCACGGCGGGGGAATCAAACTCCCAAACTTTGGGGCTCTGCAGCCAGAGACTTAGACCACTGAGCCATCCAGCCGTCCACCGTGGGCTTTTTCCTCCTCCCAAAGTTGTAGGATCTGAAATCCCCACCCCAACGTCTTTGGGGAATCCCAAGCCAGTCTCACGACACAAAGCCCAGCGAAGGTCGCTCCCTTTCTCTTGGTGCTGGATTCAACTTGGAACTGCATCCTTAAAAGAGATTTTGCTGTCCCGAAAGCAGACTCACCCAGGGCTGGGAGCAGCCGGAGAAACGCGTTCTTGTTCCTCTGCTTGGTGATATGGAGCATGTAGTAGAGGCCGATCTCGCAGGCGATCCGGTGCTCCTGGAGAAATCTAGGGTGCAGGAGAGGAACCTCATTGGCTGCATCCACTATTCTTGTGAACAAACAGATCCAAACCTCCCTCATTTTAGATCCCTGTTCCCCAACCTTGGTTCCCCGGATGTTCTTCGTCTCTCTCTCTCCCTTGCCTGGAGAAAGTTAAGGACCGCCTGCTGAAGAAGCGACGTGGAGGAGGAGCGAAACCTTTCAACCTAATAAGAAGCCCAGTGGCAGGACTCAACGTCCAGATCACTTCTCACCTGGAGGGCTGGGAATCTTCACAGATATCTCATTCAGGACCGCCTGCTTCTTCCCAAACCGCGGCCCAGTCTAGAGGCAGTTAAGACGACACATCCCATCGCCCACAACAGCAAGGATGTTGGGCCTTACCCGCCCACCTCTTTGCTGCTCTTGGGTCTCAAGCCTTTTAAAAAGGAAGGCCTCCCTCGGTCTTGTCGGTAAGAACTCAACGAGCGAAAGGCTTAAAAGCCGGAGGTGACTCACTTAGGAAACATTTCTGGGACGGTGCTGGGATAGGGCGCTGGGCCCTTGTCTTCCGACGGCAGCTTCTGGTCCACGGTGAAGGTGTAATCGTCCACCACGAAGGACATCAGCAGGGGAAGGAATCGGGTGATCAGATCCACTTCCTGGAAAGTGCAAAACGAAGATCGTCGGTACTTTTGATGCTCCTCCACCCGTTTCTCGCTTCCGGAATGCTAGGGCAGCCGGTTGCAAGCTAGCTTTGAGGTCTGGTAGTAAACCAAGGAGAAGGATAAGTTTCTGGGATCTTGGGATCATTTCTGAGCTTTACTGCTCCCCTAAGCTGGTGGGATCTGGCTGGAGAGCCCAAGGCTGGGAGTTCGATTCCCCCACGGTGCCTGTCGGAAGAAGAGCCAGCCTGGGTAGCTTCGGGCCAGCTGCACAAGCCTGGGTAGCCTTGGGCCAGCTGCACCGTCCCAAGGTTGCCCCCTAGAGGAAGGGAAGGGGAAAATCACCTCTGGGTACTCCATATCTGGAAAACCCTGAAACTGGTTGCCGTAAGTCCGAACTGATTTGACGTGATCCTTATTAACTAAAACCACACCTTCACCTCTGGTTTCCCACCCACCTCTCTCTCTAAAAGCTGAAGTGCACGGAGAGTATATTTTGTTTTAAGGGAAACCCATGCGTTTTGGAGGCCAGTTTCTCCTTTTGCTCGCCAAAACGGGTTGGTGGGGATGCATTGCTCCCCCTGTGCCCATAAAACCAGGCAAGGCCACCTGCAGTTCACAGGCCCTCTGGAAGCTTGACACAAAGAGGCTGAAGTTGGTCTAGTATTGCCGCAGCAGCTGCAGACCCCTTTGAAAACAAGGGTGTCGGGCATCCACTAGCCGCGGCAGGCAATTCACGCAGAACAAAATTACCATTTTGGGCTCCTTGAAGATCTGGCTGTCGATCATGTCCCAGGCCCCTTGTCCCAGGGAGAGCATCCTTAAAAGCAGGAGCAGGTCCGGACTTTCCTGAAAGACACGCAAGTTTCACGCCCGACCTTGCTCGTTCTGTACCTGCTGCTACTTTGCCTGCAGGCTGGTTAATTCGTTGATTGAGCGGATGAACAGCCTGCCCTTCTCCAAGGATCTCAAGGTGGCAGAGATGCTCCTCACCAAACGGTTATTTTATCCTGGCAAGAATCCTGTGAGGGAGGCCTGGGCGAGGACGAACGGCTGTGGGCTGAGGTTACTCAACAAGGTCAGTAGCCAAGTTGAGATAGTGAACCCTGACTCTGATATTGGATCCAGACGGGTTCCCGAGCGTTGGGTCCCCAAATGTTTCTCAAAATCAAGTCCCAGGAAATATCTGGAGAGCCAAAAACCCCTTAAAACTCAGGCTAGAGGGCAAGATCCATTTCTTGTTCCCAGCATAGACTGCTCAGCCGTTTTCCCATCCTCCCACAGCATAATTACATGGCCCCTTCTTTGTACTGCTCTTGGCCCTCTGTGGGTAGCCACAGGAATCCTCAGTGGTCCTCCTTGGTTGGGCCACTTAAGGCCCTGGGATTCTAGTTCCCGACCCAATCTGACAAAGCGGGATCTCCTTCACTCACCCTGGGCAACAGGTCCTGGCCAACCAGCTCCTGCAAGTGGCGGATGGTGCTCAAGGCGAGAGTGTTGATGGCGAACGGGTCGCAGAGGATCATGGACAAATCCCTGGTAAGAAATAAGCAGCGACAGCACGTCAGACACAGAGCCGACTAAGAGCAAACGCTTCTGGATCCAACGAGCGGCTCGTTTCAGGACTTAAAATAATCCACGAAAGCTCATCTTTGGCCCATTCATTCCCAGTGGCCTCTGAATGCAGAGATCCATTATTCTCATAGAGGAGACGTTCACGTTATTAACACAGAGTAATAGAACCAAGTGCCTTTGCTTGTGGAACTCAAACACGCAAGAGGAAGGTGTCGGCGATCTCGGGACTGCCCCAAACTCAGTAGAAGTCCACTTTTTACTCTGCTGTCTTCAAAAACAAATTTCTTGTTTAAGTAAATTGACAATGGGTGGCCTAAATGGGCAACCCGGGCAGGGCTGGGGCAACTTAGGATGTTGCCAGTGGCATTTGGGGGTACGAAAGGACGAGGGAGGAAGATGTGGTCTACTTAAAAGGCGAATAGTCTCTCCTCGAGAGTTGCAGAAGCTACAATTCACCTCTTTATTGGGGGGGGAAAGAGGCCCTGGGAGGCGAGCATACAACTGCCTTCTGCCCACTTTCTCTAATCCTATGACATCAGAATGGAAAAGAACGAGAAATCACACTAAGTTACACATCCAAGGCTCCTAACATCCTAAACACGATTTGTTTTATAACCCGAGCTCTCACTTCTACAGGAGATGAGCGGCTGAGACAGGAATAAAATTCGGGATAATAAAACCAAGAGTCTTTTGACGGTGAAACACCTTCTTTTACAAGAAGGAAGTGTCAACAACCCTTACTGAAAGTGTTTGGGGGGGGTGAGGAATCCTCCTGGGTCCATTAGAGCAATTCAGCAAGGCGTTTCGTTCTGACACCTTGCAGCAAACGACAGCTGAATGAGTGACAAGGAAGGACCGGTCAATGTCACCCTGACCACAGCAGCGCAGACAGAGCTGTTAAGATAACTTGGTTAGGTTGCTCTCAAGAACAAGCATGAAGTGAAATTTGGATGCCTTCTTCCAATGGGTTCTGCCCACCCTCATCATACGTCCTAGGCCAGACAGCTGAGGATACTGACCCTGGGAGAGATGCGGAAGAAGACCAGAAACTGAATCTACTCCTGCCTGTTATTCACCTGGCCCCTTCACTGATGACCTCTAGGAGACTTCTGAAAGTCTGGTTATTTAGACCCGGCTTTCAGAATATTCCATCAACAGAATGTAGAGTACGTAACGACCCCTAAGTTCTTGATTCTGCCATCTTGATTGCTCCTTGCAATGTTTTCTGTAATGTATTTTTATGTTATGACGTTTAGTATAATGCTTAGTATACACTTGCTCTGTTTATATTGTTCTGATAGTACATCATTCTAATTTAATGTCATCGGTTTCTGTTTTATCTTGTTAAAAACCGCCTGGAGTGGCCTTCGAAGCCGGATGAGCAATATAAAAAAGAAAAAAGAGAGGAAAAAGAAAAGAGATAAATAAGATGGGATTTCTGCAACACTCAAGAGCTGATGAGCGAGATACCTGTAATGCAGGGCGTTTTCAACCAGCCCGGGGGAGTTCTGTGACTTTTTCAGACGGCAGAAAAAGCTAAAGGGCTGACTTGAAGGCCACTCACCCCAGGACTTGCTCTTGACCTTTCTTCACACCGTCAAGAAACCCCTGCAGCTCCCGGGCGCGCTTGTTGTCAATGAACCGCTCCCGAATGCAAGCGTCCAGGCACCAGGTGAACTGCCAAGAGGGGTGGGGTGGGGGGAAAAACGTGGATGATGCACCATGGAATTTCACGGTGTAGAAAAACCAGATTGTTCCACTTTAACAGAGAGAAGGCCTTTCTCAAACAATATCAGGGCAGCACAATTTAAAATTATGGACATGTGAAGAAATAAAGTGGTGCCCCACAAAGCGACGATAATCCATTCCGGAAAAATCGTCGCTATGCGGATTCGTCGTTATACGAAAATAAAAAGCCCATAGGACTGCATTAAAACCCGTTTAATGCATTCCTATGGGCAAAACACTCACTGTTATGCGAAAATCCTCCATACGGCCACCATTTTTGCTGCCCGGTAAGCGAAGAATGGGTGCAAAAACAGCCATTTCTCCACAGTCACAGAAAATTTGTCCTGAATCCAAGAAGCCCCATTTTACTTGATTATTCTTTAAGGTTTGGGACCACTGATCTAGAGCAGTGCTTCCCAACTCTGGGTCCCCAGATGTTATTGGACTACAAGTCCCAGAATTCCTGGCGGGGTACTGGCGAAGGCTCCTGGAAGTTGCAGTCCAAGAACATCTGGGGACCCAGGGTTGGGGAGCGCTACCCTAAAGCATCGAGGACTCAAAAAGCTCGCCCTAAAGTCTCAAAAGAGAAGGGGATAAAAAAAAAGGTGTTGGGTTTCACGTTGGCATCCACGGAGGGCTATGAGGTGGGACAAGCCGAGAGCCGGCCCTTCCCTTAGACGCTGTACCTTGTGGCAAGGGTCCACCGTGCAGATCTCGCTGATGTCCAGGTCGTGGAGGGACATCAGGAGCTCCGCCCGCAGGGTGCAGTAATGGACGTTGCGCGTCCGCAGGAAGAGGGTCCGGAGGAACTGGAGCACCATGTCGTAAAGCTTCACGTTCTTGCCAATCATCTGGGTGAGCTTCTGGACCACCTTTGCCGGCGGAAGAGAAGGAAGTCTGGGGTCAGAGCCCTGCCAACAGGGGCCCACCGCGTGGCACAGAGTGCATCTCGTCTCAAGACAGAATGATTTGCGCTTCTGCCACCCAAAGTTTATCATAGAATCAAAGGGAAATCTTGCTACTCAGCGAGAGCGTCAGAACAAGTATGAACACTTAATAAAAATGAAATCACAGGAAAATATTAGAGGAACGGTTTTCTTTTCAGTGGGTTTTTTGAACCCAGATCCCGGCCCTTCCACCATGCCACCTTCCTAGGGATTAAAACCTCGTTCCCCACATTCGATCCCCGCGTGCAATCACGGACATGTCCCGTGCTCGCTCTTTACCTCTCCCTGGCGCCGCGTCTTGGGCGTCGGGCTGAAGAAATTGTGCAGGACCGAGAGGTCGGAGCTGAAGAGGGCGTTCTCCTTCTCCAGAATGTACTGCTTCAACAGCGGAGAGACCTCGTCGCCAAAAAGGGCCTGGTTGTCCTGCCAGATCTGGCGCTTCACCTCCACGGCGCATGCCTTGTACAGCTCTTTGTCAGCCATCACCAGCTTCAGCTTCTTTTCGGGGACCTGGGCCCAAAAGCAAGGGGGACTGGGTGGGTCGGTCTCCCAATCACACCCTTTCTAAAGCATGGGGCATTTTGACACAATACAGTGGTGCCTCGCTTAACGGTGATAATCAGTTCCAGGAAAATCGCCGTTAAGCGAAAACATCATAAAGCGAAAATAAAAACCCCACTGAAACGCATTGAAACCCGTCCAATGCGTTCCAATGGGGTAAAAACTCACAGTCCAGCAAAGATCCTCCATATGGCGGCCATTTTCGGTGCCTGTATAGCGAGGAATCCGTCCCTAACCACAGCGGGGAGCCAATTTAAGC